ACCCGCCCCACCCCCCGCCAAGCAACACAGCCTGTGGACAGCTGAGCCCCAGAGCCGGCGGCCTGGAAGGCCCCCTCTCTGCGGGATCTCGACCCAGGCAAAGCTGCGGGGAGTGGAATGTGGGCTCCCTGGGCTCCAGCTGATCCCCAGCAGTGCCAACACCTGGCCAGCCTTCGGTTGGGACGGTCTCTCCTTCCAAAGGCGCCAGCCCCTGCCGTCCCAACTCTGAAGGCCATCTGTGAACGCTGCCTCCACAGGCAGGTGCTCCTAAAATGGGATCCTCACCCTCTCTCCTCCGAGTTTTGGGTTTCTCCAGGAGAACGGGGCTCTGCTTAAGTTACCGATGAGATCCTCAGAATGCTCCAGCAGCCCTGGGACTTGTGATGCCTCCGGTCGGTTTGAGAGGTGCCTTGGAAGGGAGAAGAGGCTGGTTCTAACCTACCACGTTGGGCTATTTTCTTCCACCTTGCAACCCAAGTTGGCTGCCTGCGTGATGTGAAACACCCACCTTGGGGTCCAAACTGCTTTGCTCAACTGAGGGGTCAAGGCCCCGAACAGCTGAGTGAGAATGGCCTCCTCAACTTTTCTTATTTTGTCACTGGAAAGTTAGCAGGATGGGTGCAGGTTCTCCCTTCCGCGGCTGCCTCCAGACCACCTTAAGGCTCCATCTCAGCTCACGGAAGAAGATTTGGGGACTCTCAAACTCCTCCCCCTTGTTCTGCCATTTCTTTCCTATTAAAAGAGGCAGTCTTGCCTGTTCTGAGGATTTAAACATGTCTGAAAATTCAGGGCTGGGCTACTCTCCAGGCTGGGAGAAGCCGGGGTTTAAAACCAGGGTGCAAATGCTGGCTCAGCCCCAAGTCCAGGCTAGTCTTTCTGCTCTGCAGGTGCAGCTGATTGAGAGCATTGGACGGAAGCTCATGGTGTTGCAGGAGGCCCAGCAGGGTCTGCAGGACGACCTGAGTGCCAACACAGCCCTCGGCAGAGAGGTGGAGAACTACATCAAGGGGGCTTGCAAGCCCCACGAACTTGAGAAGTTCCGCCTCGTCATAGGCGACCTGGACAAGGTGGTCAACCTGCTGCTCTCGTTGTCGGGGCGGCTGGCCCGAGTAGAGAATGCCCTGAGTGGCCTGGATGCACAGGAGGAGGAGGAGGAGGAGGAGGAAGAGAAGGTGTGCGGCTGAAGCGGGGAGGAGGGGAGGCTGCTGGGGGGGGAG